TTAATCCTCACCTATCATATGTCATTTATATAGATGCTTCGTTGAAGTGCTTAGGGTGTGTTCTGATGCAAGATGAGGGGGTTGTTGCCTATGCTTTGAGACAATTGAGACTACATGAAGAAAACTATCTAAAGCATGATTTAGAGTTAGTAGCAGTGGTCTTTGCCTTGAAAATTTGATGACAGTACATGTTTGGTTCAGTGTTTGAAGTGTTCAGCGACCATAATAGTTTAAAGCATTTAGTAGATTAGAAGGAGCTGAATATAAGGCAACATAGATGGATGAAATTTATCAAAGACTACAATTTTGAGATCAAGTACCATTCAGGTAAAGCTAATGTAGTGGCTGATGCACTAAGTTAGAATATAGTGCATGTCGCTTACATGATGATTTGGGAGCACAACTTGTTAGAAACATTCCTGGATACTTAGAGGAAAGCACTACAGATGACATTGTGCAATGTGCACTTTACAGTAGTAATCAATGAGTTCTGGAAGGAATTGGGAGCTGCTCAGTTTGAGGATGAATATCTACTTGGAATATGCAAAGATTTTGAAGAGAGGAGAACTATAGAGTTTGGGCTTAATGATGAAGATTATGTGACCTATCGAGGCTAGATCTGTGTGCTAAGTGATGAGGAGATAAGGAAGACGATCTTAGAAGAAGCACACCGTAGCGAGTACACTGTTCACCCAGGTGCCACCAAGATGTATCAGGATATGAAGCAAATGTGGTGGTGGCCAGGAATGAAGAAAGATGTTACAAAGTTTGTGGCTTAATGTTTAACATGTCAAAAAGTCAAAATTGAGTACCAAAGGTTACATGTTCTGTTACAACCACTTAAGATTCCTAAGGAAAAAAGGGACAGCATATCTATAGATTTTATTATTTGCTTGGCTAGAACTTGGTTGGGTTATTATGTAATATGGGTGATTATGGATTGTTTGACCAAGCCAGTGCATTTCCTTGTAGTGAAGATGACTTGTTCACTGGAAAAGTATGCCAAGGTCTTTGTACATGACTCTAACTATGGTCACGATTTACATTGAACTTCTGGAGAGCATTGCAAAGAGCAGTGAGAACTAGTTTGAGGTTTAGTATAACTTATCATCCACAGACGGACGGCTAAACCGAGAGAATTGTCCAGACATTAAAGATTATATATATATATATATATAAGTGGTGCTCTTTTATTTAAAAAGAAAAGGGGGATTGGTGATTTTTGCTCTTACACTTTTTTTTTATTAAAGGAAGGAGATGTGGCCTCTTCGCTTTTATTTTTTAAAAAGTAAGTAGAAAGGTAACATGGCGTGCCTCTATTTACTTTTTAAAAAATAAATAAAAGGGAAGAGAAGGAAACACCACCTCTCTTCCCTTTTATTTTTTATAAGTAGAAATGTAGCATTTTTTCAATTTATGATATTTCATTAATTAAAGAAACATCATTTAAAATTTAAGATGGCATTAAATCTTATAATGTTTTGTAAATGTCACAAAACTAATATTTTAAATACTACTTAAACTCATTTTTAAAGTAGTGACTGTTAAAATTGGTCTTGGATGATTTAGATCTCACACAACAAGAAGAACCCAAATTCAGCCGCACAGAGGATCAAAAGCTTTATCACGATCCTGCACTGGCTTCCGCATGAAGAATTCAGTGATGCCCTGCATGGGAGAGAAAGTTCAGTAAACATTACTTTATTAAAAAAATAAAAAAATAAAAACAAACGACGAGCACATTGTTGGAATGTTAAAGAGTGTTAATATGTGATTAGTGTATATTAACCACATTAGTAAGTTGGTGACCTTAAGTTTTATATAAAGGTGCCGTATCTTGTTAGAGGTTAGGAAAGTCGTAACCTACCTCAAGAGAGATGTTAACATAGGTTCTCACCTCATGATTTGTAATCCCTTCAAAATAGGGTTGTATTATTTCTTTATATTTCATCATTGAAGGATGGTTAATGCGTTATAATGCCATCAATGTTTTTCTTTACATTGTTCAACAAACATCATTAAAAGCCGAATAATCTTTATGATAAAGGACAAAGAATGCCGACTCATTTCTAATCCTATAGAATACTGGTGACGATACGCTGATCTCATGGGAAATGAAAATCGCAAACTGATCTTTTGTTGATAATATATTAATATTACGTTGATCTCGTGGGAAATGAGAATCACGAACTGATCTTGTGTTGATAATATTCTATATAATTATAAAACAATAAACAATACGACAAGACTTATTGGCCTTCAATCAAATCATGTAAATTTTAATGTATTAATTTAATTAATAACAAAAATTTATTATAGAATAAAATGATATATAAAAGATTCGCATGTCTTGATTTAATTTGATACAAATACTTTAAGTATATAAGGTAAAGTAAATAAATTTTTTCCTAAATAATATTCTATATACCTAGCTAGTCCCTTACGTTAATAAGCATACTCATGCATTATCGTTGACTTTAAAAATGTTATATTTTTTTAAATATTTTTAGATATTTTTACACCTCAATCCTTACACAAACAAATTTATCTGTGACGATGAACTATCGTGTAGAGGCGCCTATCTATGCCCGCAGGGACCAATTTTATATATTTTCTACCTTCCATGTGTGCATGTTTTTGAAACTTTCAGGAAATTTGGATTTGAATTTAGTGATATAAATCTACCCACTTAATGAATATCTTAATTATAGTTATTGCATTTCTTCAACGCTTGAAAATTATCATTTATCAATATATATTTTTTTTAAAATTTAAAACAATCTCCAAAAATTTAGAACAGCCACTGATTTGATTTGATCTGATTGTAAGAGACAAGAGATGGTGCTTTCTAATTTCTAAGTGCCATACGATAAAATATCAAAGATCCATTTGATTAAATTGGAACTTACTATGATACCACTTGGGACACTCATTGATACCTAGTTCTGTTCAAAACAGCCTATTCAGACAAATATAATTTGCGCATGAAAATGAGGAGCACCAGGATGAAAGACAATTTTCAATCTTATTTATTCTTTAATGATTATATATACAGGCATTATAAAGTCGAAGTATGAATGAATTTGGGTTGATATAGGGAGTTATAATTAGGATAAAATTAATCTTAATAATTAATATATAATAAAGTGATAAACATCCATAAAATTCTAGAATGTTAAAGCATGTTTGCTTTTTGTTTTTGAAAACTGTTTCATACTTTTAAAAACAAAAAAATTAAAACTCATTTGGTTAAATGTTTTGGATTTAATTGTTTTTAAAACTGTTTTCATTTATTATTTTTTAAAAATAAAAAATATAAATGTCTTAAAGTTATTTTTATTTTTAAAACACAATATATTTAATTATTGAAAAATATAGTTACTTTAATTAATTTTTATTATGAACTACCACCATCAGTTAACAACCTGCAATCATCACTGCCAACCTACTTTTTAATTTCAAAACTTTTTTTAAATTAATATAATTAAATAGATTTTCATTTTGTTTGGATTTAAAAAATAATTTAAAAAATTATATTATAAAATAATTTTTCTTTAAAAAAATGGAAACAAAAACCAAACGGGCTCTTAAGATCTGGTGTTCTCGTTCCTAGTAGTCGTTACTTTATTTCTCTTCGTGATATGTGATAAAGCTACTTCGCTTCACATTCACAATAATCCAATATACGTGCGTGATAGTGGCTATAGGCAAAGCCACGTGATAATGGGGCGTGCAACCGGCAAAATTTTACATATAGCATGCAAACTTTTGTAACTTTGCATTCCTTATTCATGATATTTTGCATTTTCTGAATCACATAAAATATATTTGGGCCTAAAAGCTTATTATGTAATATTTTAATCATCAAAAAATATATTTACATGAAGGCCGCACCAATCAATATGTTTATGTTATTATAATTTTGTGTCCTTATTTTTTTGATAAGATAAATTTTAAATAAGTTATATCTCAATAGCTCACTAGTATCAGAACATGCCTTAAAGTTCAATCTACAAAGTCCTTATTAATTGGATTTATTGGTGTTCTAGTGTATTCATTATTTTTATTTACTTAATTACTACTTTTAAACAAATTATTAAGTTTTAAATTAAAATATCTTGTATTCTGATTGAAGGTCCTGGCACTTGATAATGTCACATCCAACATAAGTGGAATTTAATAATTTAATTAATGTATGTATAAGCAGTTGTCTACTTGTCCTTACTTAAAAGGGACAGTTATGTTTTCAATGCAGTAATTAATTTTCTTGCGCAGGACTTAACTATAATTCTTCCTACTTAAAATCTTCCAATAATTTTAGATATGGATCAATCCATGCAAGCAGTGACACGTGTCTTCCTTGTGAACATCCTCCTTCCTTGCCTTCTCTTTGAGTACTATAAACAATGATAGCTTAATCCTAGTCTTAATTTCCCTCTAAAATTTCATTTAAATTAATTTTTAAATATGATATGTTTTAATATAAAAATTATAAAAAATAATATTAAATCTGATTGTCTTCACTGTACATTAGGAAATGAGTACCATGATACTTATCAATTCTAATGAGATCTAACCCATCCAAAATTAAAATTTTTAACTTTTATTTCATATTTATTAAAATAAAAATATAAAAATTTTAATAAATCTGTCCACTATCAATCTGACAAGTATAGATTTAATTTAAACGATCAAATTTAATATTAAATTTTTTTATAACTTTACAGCTTCACGATTGAAGATATAATCTACATATATAACCCAATTTAATAGTAAATTTTTATAAATTCTACAAATTGACCATTCCATTTAGTTGTGCTCTGAATAATCTAAATTTAATATTAATTTTTCTATAATTTTTATGTTAATAAATATAATATTTAAAATAGTTAAAAATATTATATTTTAAATGAATAGTAGAGATAATTTCATGGTAAAATCAAAGGCCCATATTGAGCCATCCTTGATAAGAACAGAATGTGGACGCCTATAAATAACATGCACGCCTTGGGTTTCTCTCACGTTCCAAGTTACAGAGCTTGAACATCGAGAGAGATTTACTGTAAGAGCAAGATGCCTGCAAGGTCCCTGATCATAGCCCTCTCCTTCCTCCTCTGGTTTGCCTTCACCACCACCAACCCCTTACCAGTAGCCTCAGCTTCTGGTGAAGAACCAGTGATCGACATTCAGAATGAACCAGTTGTCCCGGGTCAAGAGTACTACATAGTGTCAGCCATATGGGGAGCTGGAGGTGGTGGGGTTTTTCCAGGAAGAACTGTGGATGCCTCCTCATGTGCCTATTCTGTTCTCCAATCAGGTAATGACATGTTCCAGGGCGCTCCACTAAAATTCCATGTTAAAGGAACAAGCACAGGCAAGATTTATCCAGGTTCCACTAATCTGGAAATCGAGTTCGTGCATAAGCCAGCGTGTGCAGAATCCTCCAAGTGGGTGGCCGCTTACGATGAATCTGGATCATCCTGGAGTGTGGTGATAGGTGGGCCTGAAGATCATCCAGATTCTAAGTTGGTGAGTGGGGTTTTCCGGTTCGAGGCTCTCGGATTTGGGTACAAGCTTGTGTTTTGTCCCTACAGCACTGTCATCCGTTCTTCAGGGAATTGTTATGACGTTGGGCTTGATGTTGCAAACGGAAGCAGGAAACTGGTTGTCAGAAACCAAAATAGTGGAAATCCCTTCTGGTTGGTGATCCAGAAAGTTGCTTCTGGTAAAGGGAAGTTCAGTATTATCTGATAAATGTTGCTTATCTTCTGTCTATGTATGGGGACGTCGGCCTTGTATATTATCGAATAAAAAAGTGATCTCCTGCGACTTGCAAGAAGTTTGCTTTATGCAAATTGAAGTTAGTGCCAGCAGTTTGCATAATCTTCATGTTTAATTTTAAAAGCCAAAACTATGATATTATAAAAATATATTCAAACATCTATATGTTAAAACTATATTTTTTTAAAAAAATCGAAACACCTCTTATACCCTGATTTATAAAATAGAGGGGATATGTGAACAAATTTTGATGATGTATAATTGAAAAGCTAGAAAAAGATAATAATAATTTATGAGATAATTATAGTTTTAAATTTATTTAGGACATGTTTGGTAACACCCAATATTGAATCAAACCTCAATTAGGTGTTAAAAGCAATTAGAAATTTTTGCATATTGCTTGATAAGAAATTGCTGAAAAGGGCCTTTAAGGCAAAAACCTCGTTTCGACTAAAGCAGGAGAATTGAACTTCTAAACGCGTGGCTGCCAGATTTTCTCTCTCCTTATCCTCTCCCGCTCGACTACTCGTCATTTTCTCGCCTCTGACCTCTGTCTTCAATTCTAGCAGCAAGCCGCTGCCTCTGTCTCTTACTGTTGCAGTTGCCTACCATGTCCTTGCTCGCCGCCGCCGCCGCCGCCAACCATGGACATTGTAGTGGTATCGTCGAGGTTGGCGTTGTTGTCTGTTCCGTCGAGGTTGGCGTTTCTTGGTCCGTTGAGTTTGTTGTTACTCTTTCGTCTGTGTAGCTCGCCGTCCGTCGTGGTAGCTGGATCTGAACCTCTCTTTGTTCGCTGTTCGCCGTCGTCCCCGGATCTGCTCTCTCTACAAGAACCAGGACAACTTGCACGAACTGATGGAGCTCACATGCTCTGAAGCGGTGCAGCTACATAGCAGAAAGGATGTGGAGAAGCTGGTAGAGCATCACGAAGCCGACCACAAGCTATCGTTCTGGATGTGGGGCTCAAGCACGAAGGTGTATCCCGTGGTGCTCATGCGGCGACGTTTTTGTTCATCACTCATCAGAGATAGCAAGATTAGTGGAAGGGTGCGTGTCGCTTATTAAATGTTTGGCTCCACTTCTATATCCTGATAAATGTCATTATGCATCCACCAATTACTTTTTATTTACCAGAAATTGAAATTACTTTTTAAAATTGAATAGTTCGTAATTTATCATCAATTTTATTCTAATTTTTTAAGATTTAAGATTTTTTATTTATCATTTTATTTTAAATTTTTTATTCTATCTTTTCTAAAAAATTATTTAAAGTTTACTATTTTTTCTAAAAAATTCAATTAAATACAAATATATATATATATATATATATGTATGTATGTTATAAAATTCATTTTTTTTGGCATTATATATTTAAACTAGCTGTTGAATTACATCGTCTAAATAAGTTTTAATTTGTTAAACCGGCTTTTAATAAAAAAAATCTAAACAAATCAAATTACAATTATATATCTTTATCCTAATTTCATTTTGCAAACTTCAGAGCATTCTAACTTCATTTTTTACCTTTTAATCTAAACACCCCCTTTGACATGTATATATGGGTATTTTTATATTTTTAATAAAATTATGATTTTGGGTTCATAATTAATTTTAACATTTAACAGTGGTGTTTATGTATATTTTAAGAAAATCATAATTTTGAATTCACAATTTATTTTGACATGTAATAAAGGTTAGAACTAATTAGGATATTTGGACATATATTTTCACGAAACCATAATTTTACTTGATTTTTAATTTTACTTTGAAATTATAAAATTACAGTTAGTTATATATATATATATATATATTATAAAATTCATTTTTGTCATTATACATTTAAATTAGTTTTTCAATTACATATCTAATTAATTTTTAATTTTTTAAACCAACTTTTAATTAAAAAGTATCTAAACAAATCAAATTACAATTATATATCTTTGTCCTAATTTCATTTTGCAAACTTCAAAGCATTCTAACTTCATTTTTTACCTTTTAATCTAAACTTCGACATGTATATACAGGGGTAGTTGTATATTTTTAATAAAATTATGATTTTGGGTTCATTATTAATTTTAACATTAACAGTGGCGTTTATGTAGATTTTAAGAAAATTATAATTTTGGATTCACAATTTATTTTGACATATAATAAGGGTTAGAACTAATAAGGGTATTTGAATATATATTTTCATAAAACTATAATTTTTACTTGATTTTCAATTTTACTTTTAAATTATATTAAAAATCAATATTATTAATTGTCTTTCTAAAGCAATTATACCATAAAAAGAATAGCAATTATACCATAAAAAGAATCAATTATATTTATAATTGATTACATAAATTAATATTTTTTAATTTTAATCCAAACGCACTCGCCGGCCTTAGGCTATGTTTGGTTTGGCACATCACTCTTACATTTTTATTTAAATATTTTATGCTGTACTCCCTCACTTAAAAAATATAAGATATTTTTAACTAAATATCACTTTCAAAAAATAGTTATTTTTTTTTCAAACTACCATCATACATCTTTTCATATTTACCTTTATTTAATTTAATATACTATTTTATTTTCAAATAAATATAAATTAATTTATTTATTACGGGAACTTTAAAAAAATACATTAATTAGACAATGAAAATACTAAAAAAGCCTTATATTTTTAATTTAAATATCTAATCCTTCAAAAAATGTCTTATATTTTTTAATGAAGGGAGTGTATCGTTAATGCCACATCAAACTAGTACTTGCTTGTTCAAAATTCAAGTGGTATAAGCGGAGATGAGTAGTCAAAAATTAAAACACTCAAAATATGTAAAAAAAATTTTAGCTGTACGGAAATTCTTTTTTATCGATTGCGCTGCTCACAAGTAATCCCTTCGTTTATATTTAATTTGTTAGATAAACTATCACTTTTGATTTTTTTTAATAAGAAAAATCATATATTTTGATAAGCATTGATTACATATTTTTTAAATTACCCCTCATAATTTACATTAATGAAAAATAATTAATATATACTTATGTTAATTAACATAGGATATTTTAATTCAATTTCTTTATTTTTAGACACAATTATTGTAGTTAACTTATTTTCTTAAACTATATGATACAATTTTTTTTTATCTTGTATATAGATAGGATGGAGTATCTTCATATTAAAGAATTCTATTCGAGGTATGGTCAAACATTAAAAGTAGACATTTCTTTTAGTAGAGATTCAAAATTCACCATGTTATAAAATACTATAGCACCTAATCTGTAATATCTCCCTTACTAAATATGATTAAGATTCTGAATCCATGTTAATCAAGGGATCAATCCCAAGAAAGATTATCAAGTTTGTAATTTAAGAAAATAGGACCCTAGGTTTTCATATTTTAAAATAGAACCCTAGGTTTTCATATTTTAAAATACTTTGAAAACCATTCATTAACATCTAAACAGAGTAAAATAAAGTTATGAAAGTATGGGATGCTTCAGGAGAGTGAGAGTAGTTGAAAGCAGTTGAAAAATTTCAAGATTTTGAAAATAAAGCAGTATGCAGTGGATTGCCACTCTCTGTGCATGGCGTGGCATATTGCACATTCATGACAGCAAATCCGGGCAACTTCTGGCTTGCCCCCCTTTTTTTTGTTCGATGACCAAATGATATGATTTAAGTGTTTACAAAAGTCTCTTTTTATAATCTAGTTAATAGCATGAGTTTTACTTTCAAATTAAATCACACAAAGGGGTTAGATACCCAAACACATTTTCACAACTTTTTTTACTTTTCACAACTAAAGTGGTGTCTTAACACCCAAACCAAATTTATTAAATTTCTCTAGTTACACATCACATTAAATCACTCAATTATTGCAATTAAACTTGATTAATTCTTTAATAATTTAAGGATTAAAATTTGAATATTACGCCTTTCATAGAAGCCTAGACCAAATGCCTGTTAGTATCGTAGGTGCCTATTTGGATTTGCATTCAAAATTAATTAATTGTATTTGCGTTCAAAATTAATTAATTGTATGGAAATTATGTTTTGGCAAAAATTACCCAACCACCTATGTTACATGTTAAAATTAATTATGAATCTAAAATCATGTTTTTCTTAAAAATGTCTAAACACCCATTATACATGTTAAAATCAAATATGAATCCCAAACTATGGTTTTTTTTTTAAAAAAAAATCTAAACACCTTTTATTATGTCAAAATCAATTATGAACCATAAGATATGATTTGTATAATTAAAAATTATACAAATTTTGGATAAATTTTTCGAAATGTATAATAAAAAAATTAAATAAAAAAGTAGATTGTAATAGCTTATAAAATAACTGTAGTTTTAGGTTTGTAATTGATTTTGGCATGTATGTGGATGTTTGGTTATTTTTAACAAAACCATAGTTTTTAAGTTCAGAATTAATTTTAGCATGTATAATGGGTGCTTATTTTTTTTAAATATGGTTTTGGATTCGTAATTAATTTTAACATGTAACATGAATGTTTTGATATATATTTGCAAAATTATAGTTTTACCTTATTTTCAATTTTATTTTTCAATTTCACTTTTAAATTTTGATTAAAATCAATCTGATTAATAAATTATATACCATATAACGTAATCAATTATATTAATTAATTTTTATAATTAATTATACAAAATTAAAATTCAAACACACCCTAAAGAGTACTATAGTGCACCGAAACTCAAGCTCTCAGCCTGCCTTTGGCCAAAAAAAAAAAGCTCTTAGCAGTCCTTCAGTTCATGCACCAAAGTACTGTCCACATTCGAAACAAGTGAAACCTTTTTTGGGAGAATTACAGTTAGGTCCCACACAAGAAAATTAATTACTGCAAGGTTTATTGATAACTGAACTAAATTACATTGAAAACTGGTTCTGTTGTCAATGCAGTTTAGTTCAGTTGTCAATAGAATTTATAATAATTAATTTTCTTGTGTGAGACTTTAATATCATTCTCCTCTTTTGTTTTGGCCAGAAAACAGGTTAAATAGCGAAAGAGGAGACAAAATTAAGTACAACTCATTTTGTCACCATCGTCAACAACACAGTCCTTTTTTTTTTCTCTTTTTTTAAACCTTAAATCAATGCAAGAAATTATAAAAGTCTACAGTGTGATGAGAGTAATTTATCTCAAACACAGAACGAATAAGCGTTATCATGAACCCGAGCTAGCTTCCAAATTAAAATCCGTGACTCAAAATTTCAACCACTGGTGCTGTTTTCTTTTTTCCTCTAAAATCTCAATCCTTTTAAGTGTTTTTTGTTTTTTAAATATGTATGATTCACATGGTCATACAAACTCTTGAACCAAATTACTTGTATATATCCGTCAAATCAACCTATAAATAACCCTCCTTGCCTCTCACCACTTCAGAAGAACCACTCATAAAAACAGACACAGGGAGGAAGAGAATATGGGTTTAAACAAGATAGGTCTGGTGCTGTTCCTGGTAGCGGCGGCGGCCATCACTGCATCTGCGGAGGCTCGCTTGGATGTAAATACCGTCGTGGCTCAGGCGTTGATGGGCGGCGAACGGAACTACATGGTCAAGTCCACCACCAGAGCCTGCTGCGACAACTGCGCTTGCACCAAGTCAAACCCACCTAAATGTAAGTGCAATGATGTATTGCCAGAAACTTGCCACTCTGCTTGTAAGAATTGTATCTGTTATCTCAAATATCCTCGTGTGTGCGTTTGCATGGATATCACCAACTTCTGCTACGATTCTTGCTCTTCTGCTGCTAAACCTAACTAGCTAGCACCCGATATCTGAGAATATGTCTCTATTGTCAACAATAATCAGTGGTGTAATGTTATCTTATGTGTTGCCAAAGCCTATACTACTTATGGCTTTGTTTCTGTATATGTACGTTATCTAATTAATTGAATAAAATATCTTGTGCCTTGCATGCTTATGCAGTTTGCTTTTTGCAAACTCGTTGCTTGCGTGTGGGCTCATGATCTTGTTTTATGGCCATGTTTGTTCTGTTCTTGTAATGTTGTTTAGCCATGAAAGAAGGAAACAAAAAACGCGACTGATCATCATCATCTCAATTTCATCAAGATAGTGGAGGGATTAGGTCCTATTATTCACTAATAAAAGATAGTGGGGACCGAAGTCCTATTGGCATTAGAGATTTCAAATTTCATCGGGAGCCCCTCGCAGTACTAAATAACATAAGAAGATAACTTCAAGACCATTTTAACTATGATTATAATTATAACCTTTTAAATTATTTTTAGGCCAGTTATAATTAATCTTTTCAGTTTGAATTGCCTTACGAATAACTCTCCAATTATATGCCAAACATTTTGTGATTAAGAATCACTTTTTAATTAATTTTCACAAAAAATATATCTTAACAATAGAAATAATTTATAGAAGAGGCTAATCCCTCATAATATGGTAAAGCAAGATCTGAATCTTTGTTGAAAGAGGTGGTGTTCACATTTAGTGATATTCATATTGTGTGACTAGAGAATTTTGGGTTAACTTTCAATTCTTATGATTAAAGTGACAACAATCAAACTAACTCGTAGATTATACAAATAAAACACACCCCACATGTTGATGCAAAATCTTGAAAAACTGAGTTTATGAGTCCTTTTATTTATTTTTAATCCAATAATATATTGGACGTGGGAATTTTTTTTTCTCCCACACTGTCAAATTTAAGACGACTCACCCTTGACATTCCAAAATAATAAAATAAGATTGGAGAAAATATCACATTGGATGAGATACTAAGCTCGTACCGTCATGTGCTTATCATGTCGGGTTATGGCAAGATTCCGACACAACCCTTCACAACGATCACAAGGATTGATGATGAATAGAGCCAATAATTTAAGTCAAATTTAAAAAATTTTAGAGTCAAGTTTGAGAGTTTAGAAAATTTTTTACTTCAAGCTTATTTAGGTTACCTAAATAAGCTTGAAGAAATCCGAGCCAAGCTCAAATTTAAATGAATTTAACTTAAATATCCAAATTTTTTATTAAAAATAAAAGAACAATAAGATAAAATTTAAAATATTAATTTTTTAATATAAAAATGAAATTTAAACTAGCTGAAATAAGCTTGAAAGCTTGAGATGTGATGGCTATGCTTAGCAATATGAGTTTTTTATATAATTGGATATTTTAAGTCTAGTCTAAATAAACTTGACTTACCCAAATTATTGACTCTGAGACGATGGCTGACGTTTTCAAGTTCCTACCATGAACGTATACATGCTTCCACTTTCCAATAATTAATTCCTCCCATGAACGTATACATGCTTCCACTTTCCAATAATTAATGTTTTGTTTTATCTGCAATTAGGATAAACTAATATAATATAACCTTTGTATCTGGATCCGTGGAGGCGCACTTTAGTTGTAGTATAGGAGATATCAAGAGGAAGTTAGTATGCTTTACATTGAACTGCTTTTGGAACGTAACTGAAACAACCCAAGTATTGTTGTATTTGTACCAAAACAAAATGTGCAGGATGTTTAAAAAGAAGAGCATAACGTATGGCTATTCAAACACTTCCATAACGTCCAATATTCTTCTGTGTGCTAGTCCTGGAGAAGTCATAAGCAACACTTGCAATATCAGGAAGTCAATCAAAGACCCTACTTTCAATCTTCTTGTTTTCATCTGTCTCATGCACTATCATTTAGGTTATTCTAAATCAAGGTAGTGTCCTCATTTCAACCCCAAAAGCGACTCCACAATATTCGACGACAGACCTATTACAAAAGGCTACTGTATTGAAGGCACTGGGGAATAAACTTAATTTTTTGCTTAGGAGACTTCCTCTTCTGCTTTGAATATTTGGTCCTTTAATGGCTTTCTTATGTTGATTTGTGATAGTGATTGTGCTTTTTAACTTGACTTTGTGTTCCTGGAAGTGAACTATTGAAATTGACAAAATGAATATCATTGATAATTGAATATCGGTATAGCAAGGACTACATTTACATGTACACCAGAATCATTAAAATATACATAACTAATTAAGGTAATATACAGCAAAATACAATTACGACAACAGTATTAAGTTGGAGCTTACACCTCCTATGGAAATGAGCTCAAAAAAAGGTTTAGAATGAGGAGCCTAAGTATAAACATCCGTAAGTTGATCAAAAGAACGCACAAGAAAGAGACGGATGATCTTTTCTTTAAGCTTCTCATGAGCTAAGTGGCTATCAAGGTCAACGTGTTGTACATTTGCTAAAAGTAGGATTGGCAGCAATTTGAAGAGCAGATTGACTATCACAGCAAATATTAGCAGGATCATAGCATGTATGCTCAAGATCATGGAGAAGATATAATAACCATTAAAGCTTACAAGTTGTGGTTGTAAGGGCACAATACTTGACTTTACTAGAAGAACGAGACATTGTAGGCTATTTCTTAGATTTCTAGGGAATTAGAGGAGGACCTAGAAAAACATAAAAAACCTCGTCCACATAAACAAGTATAGCAGTAAATGAAGAACCAGTGGATTTGGGGAATAAATAACGGTCAAAAGGTGATTGGCTATACTTATAAGAAATCAAGGCTGCAAAAAGCTTAAAACACTATTGTCTACTAGCTTGTTTGAGGCCATAAAGTAATTTTTGAAGCTTGCACACCATATTTGGCTGATGAGTAGAAAAATCAAGTGAAGGAGTCATGTTCACCTCTTTATGGAGATCACCATGAAGAAATGCATTATTAACATCTAACTGGTGAAGAAACCAATTTTCAATAGCAACAATAGAGAGAAGTAAGCTTAATGTAGTCATCTTAGCCAAAAGGAAAAAAATATTAAAAAATCAACTCCCTCAATTTGAGTGTAACCCTTAGCTACTAGGTGGCTTTGTGCTTATCAATAGTACCATCAGCTAAAAATTTGATCTTAAAGACCCATTTGTATCCAATACCTCCTTACTCGGTGGTAAAGAAGTAAGTACCCAAGTATGGTTCTTTTCAAATGCAGAAATTTCAACAGCCATGGCATCCCTTTAAATGGAGTGTTTAACAGTTTGTTGGTAGGTTTTAGGATCAATCACAATAGAAAGTAAGAGAATAAAATGTTTATAAGAAGAGGAAAGATGAGAATAAGACAAAACAAAGGATAAAGGATGACAAGGAGTACCTTTACTAGATGATTGGTTAGGGATGAGTAGATAAGAAGGATGAGTATGAGATTTAGTAGGGCGACATAAAGGAGGAGCAACAAAAGAAGAGGGTGGAGGAGAAGCAGCAGGAGGAGAAGGGAAAAGGGAAGACTCATTTGTAAAATCTCCAAGTAGATAAGTAAGGTTACCCTTAATAATCTACTCTAATCTCTAAAATTAATTTTCAATTAAAAGTAGGACACTTATTTTAAAACTCACTCATTTTTCATAATATCACACAATTAGGGTGTTCATATCATATTAAAATGCTAAGAGTCTATATCAACCCTTAGACTACACACAATGGACTATTCGTGCAACACATGCACCACAACCAACCAATCACAAACATATCAAATTTTTAATGCTTAACCCCCTAGATTCATAAAAACTTAAGGGGGAGCCAAATATCTATAAATCAACATAACACTTATCATAATCAATTATTTACACAACTCCCTACTTGCTATAGTATTTTGGTTTTATATAAACTTTACAAACACATATCATATAGTTTAGGGCACAAAATACACAAACCAGTCATTTTCATAATAATAGTGTAAGTAGTCAAAATGAACACATAATAACCTAGTTGGCAATTAACAAAACAAGATACACATAAACCAAATGGTACTAGGCCTACTATTAGCATTTTAACAGAATCTTATGCCTCCAGTCATTTTCCTCGATCCTAGTTTAAAGAGTTAGTTTTTGTAATATTGGAGAACGAGGGATAAGTACAACTATTTAGTAACCAAGGTCAATCTAGTCTATAAAATTTCATATCAATTAATGAAAGATGCAAATGGCAACCATAAATCATTTTGCAATCAAGAAAGATTTTTAAGTTTTCTTGACTATAAAACTAACAACCATATGGCTGGGCCTCATATTTATCTCTTCATAATGCATACAAGCATATGTAAATGTGGGGTAGCAATGATAACAAACATGCTTCCTTATAAAACTATAATAAACCATAATAATAACAATCATGTGATTGGAAATATAAAATGCATGATCAATGCCAACCTTATACCATCCTGATCCTCTGCTATAAAATTGGTGGCTATTTAGTTGCTATGTCCATAACTCAAACTAACTAAGCATTCCACTTGTGAGGAGCTACTTGGCCAAGGCTACCTCAATCACTTGTGATCCACAATTTCTCACAATACTAACAATTATAGGGTGTCATACCCTTAATATAGCCTTATGAACTGGTGGAGACTAATTAGGTTCAAGTCACTCAAAGACGAGTGGTACAGTTCTTAATCAATTATAGGATAATGGCTACCTCTTAATTCTAATAGTTAGTGTCGATGCTAGCTTTCGATTCTAATGGTAAGCCACCTTTATCATGTGAATTTACCACTACTCCTCTCCCTAGGCGAACTCCTGTTATAAATGATCATGCTATGTACATATTAACACATAGTATGCAAAACTACTGACAACTATCACATTACATCATACTCATCACAAAACCATCTTTATTGTACTCTATAAATCTCATCATGCTCCATATATCTCACGATATTCATATTCATATACACTTACAAATATATATATATATATATATATGCATGCTTATATTCAATAGATTTATAAACACATGTAAAACCTACGTATTATTTTTTATTATCTCACTACCACACTCTCATATTATTGAATATGAGTTTATAACCTCAACAAATTTTTTATCATTCCTTCTAACATATAATTAATTAATACACAAAAGCATAGACCAAAATTTCTCCTTACTACCTCAAACCTTTAAGAAGTTAAAAGTTTAGCTCTTAAAACACAGACTTTCAAAA